TCCAGGCTTATGCCAGTTAAATTCTTTAACATATTACTGATTATTTGCCATTTTAACTTTCAAAACTAACTGGTATGGACGAGTCTACGATCCAGCCTATTTATTCGGGTGGGTTAGGAAAAGGGTATAGGGAAGTTAGTGGGAAACAGCGCTGTTTGAACCTTCTCGTAGCTCCTCCATTCCAGCTCTACAGGTGGAAATATCCATTAATTTCAGGCATTTAATTAAATACCAGACGCACGGGTCAAGAGCTAAAAGATTTTTTTTGTTTTTAAACTAAAAGTTGAGCACTCTTTACAACAACCAATATAGGAGCCTAGTATTCCGCGATAACATTACAATCGCCCAGGTCCTTCGTCATTGAAACACCCAATGACCTAACAAAAAAAATAACCACCACACATAACCGATAACATAATAACATAAGAACAAATTGACATGTCACTTAATTCCTGTTTACACTACACAAAGTCTTAGCCCCGCTTTGTTCACTAAACTTATAATTTTAAAAACCAAATAAAATATTCCCACTTCGCGGTTGTACATCCCCGCGTCTATCAGAGGGTCTTGGACCCCTACCGGGTCCGAAGGAGCACCTGCTTGATCACGTATCACATTATCCCTGGGTTAGGTGCATTGGCCTACCGCGGCCCCAACACGCTACCCAGTAGGCTGTCTTAAAAATTTTCCTACCTCGCCACTTGTCTACGCTAACGTTAGTGGCTCAAAACACGTTTCGAATACTAAAATTCCAAAGTAATTTCCTGCCGCGTCCCATAAAACTCATTTTCCGGTAAAATGTAAGAAAACCAAAATTCACATTTAACTAGCCAAAGGTCAGATTTACCTGTTTCCATTATTTTCGAAAGCATTACCCATAGTTCACAGCAATTACGACAACAAAATTAATATTTAAAAAAAATAGGTAATTAAAGAAAATAACTTCCTCCTCCATCCCAGTCTTCGCCCTACCTCCCGCCAGGTAAGACCCAGTAAACCAGATATCGAACACTCCAAGGGAGAAAACTGCACACACCGTGCAAACGATGAACCGACGAGCCTACAACACCTCATGCAAGAGAGGAAGAGTGCGAACCACTATCGCACTGCGACGCTCTCTACACCACCTAAGTCTCATTATAGCGGAAGTGGTAGAGAAAAGTCGGGGGGGGGGGGGGGGGGCAGGATACTGGTAAAAAAAACACAAAACAAAAATACCGTTAAGTCATAACAGACTTAAATTATCCTGAATCTAAATTAAAATAAACAAAAAAACTAAATAAACAGTATTCCTTCATTAGGGACCCACATTTTAAAGACTTTTCGAACTAAAAAGAACCGCAAACAGTCAGTCTTTCCACCTAGTTTTATAAAAATCCCCGTTCCAGGGAAAAATTTGTTTTTATCCCGCGAAAAGAATACAAACACCTGTGGAGGGATAAAAACTCGTTTCATCCCTGCCGCAGTTCGAAAAATCCCGATGCAGGGACAAAATCCCGCCAATCACAACACTTTTCCAGATACAACTTTTTACTCAGTAATTTAAAAAAACAAATACGAAACGCATGACCCCATTGCCTACTCAGTCAAGGACTAAATAATGGAAACCAGGCAATCTTTCATCGACGCATCACATAATATTAATTCTCGCTTTAACCTTCTCAGTTTCTCAAAGTAGTTAAACAAAAATCTCCAAAGAATATCATTAATCCATCTTTCCCTAATCAATAGATAGTGCAGGCCTACATCAAATAATTTATTTCCCCAAATTATTTTACGATTACACAATATCACTGGTAAGATTCCAGGAAATTTCCTAAGTCCAATTATAACAAAATCCAATCTAATTCTTATAATACTTAAGGCTATCAGAACTGTCAAGTGAGTTGGGCCCTTTGTCCAGATCAATGGAGTAAGCAGGTAATGCTGTCACTATATCCAGTAAAACAAACTTTCAGTAAACCACTGTTACCAATAAATTAAAAATTTCCAAACATTTTAACTCCATTGGGTCCAATGACTTGTTGCACTTCATTTAAAATCCATTTTAGTTATTGGCTCCTCCATTAACGCCCAGGCTTTACCATCCAACTCACTTTCAAGTTCAATCCACTTAAGTTAACCACAGACTAGGCCTAGGTTAGTAAATTACTACTAGCCAAATATGCATGTTAGTAAGCCAATCTCAAAAGTTTCACAACGATTTGTTTTCTCTCAATTTCTCCTGTTAATTATTCAGCAACAGTAGGCCTAACACCAAAATATTCAATACGTGATTCAAAATACTCACATCAACAACGTAATTCCGTTTTCCAATCACTTTAACGACAAGCGGTATTTCCCCACAACCAATTAAAATAATCCCGCCTTTATCCCACTTCTGACACCAGTTGTCACAGCGGCCCTCTTCTAGTCTTCGTAGCGGTTGGGAGCAGGAAGAACGAATATTAAAACAAGCGAATAGGGATCAGCTAACACTTTATTACTTAGAAATTAATTAACCTTTAACAATTTCATCGACTAAACATAACACATTACAATTTACAAAGCAACCCGCGACTAACCGAATAACATACGAATTACAATAATGAATTTAAAAACGTACACGGATTTATAGAAGAAAGGAGTAAGATGAAAGGGGAGACCGCCCGCGCGGACCCTACCGTCGTTCGTTACATTCCGGCGCGGTCTAATTGCTTCAGCATCGTCCGAGCGAGAGCCTCAGCGTGGTCACATGACCATCGTCAGCCAATCAGCGCACGCTGAGCGCTCAGCCCATAATTCAACGCGTGGACACTTGCTTGACAGGTGCTGCAGCCAAACGATTACAATGGTCGTTAATGAAACTAATTGTAGCGAGAATGAAGCTAGAATTGTAACGTTGTTTACCACAATCCGCGTGCACTCGCGGAGTCAGCACATTCCATGATACATCCGGCCAAGCCACGACGTCTGGTTAGGATTATTGTAGGGTTACAAAGTAATGAAATGAATTGGAGTATGAGTTTTAAGGTTCACTTGGAGACTTATGTGAAGTTAAATAAAATTCAATATTGCTAAATACGGTTGACACATCAACCTAGCAAATATTCGGTGATAGCCAACGGCCAGGTTTAGGGAGTAAGGCCAATCAGCTTAAGCTCAAAGTTAACAAATTACAACAAAATGAGGCAAATATGCCAGGCCGTCACACAGTTACTCTTACAATTTTTGCTTTTTTTCAAATAAAATCATACATTAATCTGCATTACACTGGTGAAATCACGGAAGTCTTTAACTACAAAAGATCCACCAATACGATTTTAATATTATTTAAAGGTTCTTAAAAAGGAAGAGATACCAGATAACATACTAATAATAGCTCCGATGACGTACGGTATGGGAAATATTTTATTCATTGAATTATCAACCATATTTGGAAACTGTCGCAATTAATATCATTATTGTTTTTACACTTATTTCTCTTTAAACAATACTAAATTCTCAAAATATGTATAATTTCAATCAATTTATCGCAGTTAGTAGAATTAGCGTAAGCCTTGAAAGTAACCGTCGATTTCGACGGGTTTCACCTAGTAATATAATAATATCCTTATATATAATATGTGAAGGCGATTGCTACGAAACGCTACTCACAGGTTTTTACAAACGATGTGTCAAAATTAAGTATTTTTGTGTAGACGCCCCCTTTCACCAATTAGTAAAACCAATAGTAAATATGCCCCCTAGGCTTTGCCCCACATTCTCTGAAAATCCCAATGTATTTCTTATGAAGAAGATTTACTAACCCAGCTGTATAATAAAGCTTACTTCAGTAGTGGAATTTGTCAATTGTAAAGATATTTTGCGTCAGGGAAGACATGATTGTTGAATGTTTTAAGTTGTATTGAACCTTTCCCAACTGGTTTTTAACATTTCCAATGGAATGTTATGGGATGAACGGTTTGAAGCAAGAGAACTTAGTAACAAATTGGATAGTAACGTTAGCTGAAACGTCAAACTGTTTATTTAGTGTTAATAAATTTTATGTTAAGTGATAAATGGCCAGTAGAACAGAACTCTGGTAATCGTGAGTTTATAGGCCTAGTAGGTTATGCAAGATATTCCGCCAACCAGAGAGGAGTATTTCATAAGCCCCTCCTCTAAGTGTTACACCTACCTGACACGTGTATCAGCTGACGTGATGGTTCCAGCTGTTGCTGTACTAGCAATTAAATTGTCAACTGTTCATAACAGCTAATATAATTTCTAAATTTAATTAATTTATTCATAAAAAGTGAAAATTTCTTGGACTTCTTCTGTTTCTATATATTCATATTCAAGCTGTAAAGAAGTGTTTTTGACTCCCAAGAGAATTTTTAGGTTAAAGATACAAAGGTACTCGGAAACCAAAGATTTTTGAGCTATTTAAGAAACGAAACTTTAAATAATGGCCTTATTTTTCATAAGGTTTTTCTATGATTAAAAATCAATAGCTCCAGTATTGTTTATGTTTTTACATATGTTTTAGACTCAGAATAATCAGTAAATTATAGCTCAAGATACTGTATTACTCAATAAAAAATCATAAATTTGATCATTTCTCGGATATTATATTTATCGTAACCCTGTGCAGCAGCATGGGTCCTCTAGTTTATATTAATATCGGCAGCATGGGTCTTCTAGTTGGATTTGAAAAATAATGCTATTTTTACATAATAATATTAATGTTTCCTTTATTGTTTTCTATCATATAAAACCGGTATCTTTTTCATTTAAATTTCTGTGAGCGAATCCACGACTGGATGAGTTAGAGGTGACACGATAACATTTTGCCAACATGTTTACGATTTGCTCAGGAGATGACGGCTAGAATCTGCCATTAATCGTTTGAATTTTGCTCGTTGAATCATTAACTTGTCGATCGTGTACTTAAAGTCATTAATTACATTTGATAAATCGAACACTGTCAATTCTAACACGTATAAATTTGCGTATAATACAGTTCTTTTCCACTGTGTTTAACATGAAGATCTTCAATCATATTCTTGGGATAGTCGTGCTGGTAAGTTTAACCATCCTAATGCTTATTTTGTTTGTTTTATGTAGAAGTACGTATAGGGTACGTATTGCCATCAATTATTTTGTGAAAATAGAAAAATAAAATACCTAGAAAAAATGCAAGCTAAGTCAGCTGATTCAAATGTCACTGATGATATGTTTTGTAAAATATAATAATTTTCACCACACAACATAAACAAATATTTATACTGGGTGTTCATTATTTGAAATTGCAAATTTAAGGTCCAATTAATGTCAAAAATTGCATCTAAAAAAGTTTTTTCACCACACTATGATGTTTTTGGGTGTTTTACATACGTTAAGTGGTGGCTGAAAGTTACGCTGGCCATGCCAGCTGTCATTTTCATCTTGGGGACTGATTAGGTTTTACATCCCTAGGGCCGCAAAATCAACTGTTCGCTTAATTACTTAAACAATAATGTATGTTAAATACACAAGCTGTATCCATAGCATTGCAATAGAATTGTTTTTGTCACCGCTGCCTAGCAATTGTTTATTATTATTTTTGCTCAAATTATTTCTTCACATAACCTTAAAGTTGTAGTTGTGTTGACTGTTAGTGTACATTATTATTGTGGTGAATAGTGGTAATAGGGTAAAATGTGGTGAAAATAGCGTTCGTACCACGGACCGAAATGGCTTTGCAGCTCTCGATCGTTTTAAGTTCTCGACTTCGTCTCGAACTTAAAAACTATCTTGAGCTAGCAAATCCTTATTTTCGGCCCTAGGTACTATATATACTATACTAGGTCTTCTTTTATCAAGGCTAAACTGCTACTCCTAAATCTAGTGGTTATTTTACACGTTATTTTCATTGCCTTTTTCTGCCACGTGGAAATCTTCTTGGTATTATCATATATCATAGATGCCTACTCCTTTAATCTATGGTATAATTTAAATATCCAATCCTGTTAAATACTTAAAATATTGTCTTTATCTCTAAACCTATGTATAGAGGAAACCTTAAGATGTAGTTTTAATACAATACGGTACACAAAAAATATTACCAAAATCAGAGGGATTAATAAGTTATTCTAAAGGGTGGACCAAAAAAACAGGGACAATTTTAAAATGTTATTACTCAGCTGTTATAAAGGCTGGAGAGTTCATTGATGCGACAAAAGAAAGTTTATTTGATGCCATTTATTGCATAGTTACTATGGATCATCAATGGTTACCGCAACATCGTGCCTTTGTCATAGAGACTTTTTTGAAGAATAATTTGACTTTCATTTCTACTCAACGTCAATTTCGTTTTCACTTCAACATTGGCCGTAATGGTGCAACCCCAAAGCGAAAAACTATTTAAAGTTGGGTAAGTAATTTCCAGAACACGTCTTCTGCACTCAAAGTCAAACCTAGTGGGATACCTCGGACTGTTCGAACGCCGGAAAACTTTGAAATGGTTCGCGCGAGTGTCCTGCGTCGAGCGTCCAAAGCCAACCGTTTGCAAAACATTGCATTGAAATTTAAATTTGCATAGGTTTCATTTTGAGTACAAAAGCCGTGTTTAGGACATTGTTTACTCATCTTTGAGTAGTTTATTCGGTTTGGGGCTGCACCATTACGGCCAAAGTTGAAGTGAACACGAAATTGACGTTGAGTAGAAATGAAAGTCAAATTATTATTCAAAAAAGTCTCTATGACAAAGGCACGATGTTGCGGTAATCATTGATGATCCATAGTAACTATAAACTAAATGGCATCAAATAAACTTTCTTTTGCCGCATCAATGAACTCTCCAGCCTTTATAACAGCTGAGTAATAACATTATAAAATTGTCCCTGTTTTTTTGGTCCACCCTTTAAATCAAAATGTAGAGTCTTTATTCTCTAATTCAATTATAAATATTATTAATCTTGATTTATAACTTTTAATTTTTACATGTTTAAAACTGCCTTTGTTAAAACATTTATCTTTAAAGTTTCTTTTTTTTGGTCTTAAGAAAAAAATCAAACCATTAAAGGAAACTTTTCAAAACATTTTAAAAACCATACACGTAAAAAAAATCATTTGATAAATACGCAAAACCTATTATTTGATCTCACTGTAAGTGGAGAAAACTAACCTAGTTAAAAAATTAATTATTTACAAACTTAGGTTGACTATACGACTAATAACATAATCCCATCAATAATACATAACCGAACGATCATTTTGAAGACCTACAAAAGTGTTATGCTGTCTTTGGGCTTTAAACTAAAATTATGATATCTAAAAAAAAGTTTGAAGGTGGATAGTAAAAGCCTGGACCTAAGTCTAAAACCAATATGTTTTATATATTTTAATATATTTTATATACAGTATAGGTAAAAACATATTTTAGACATACGTCAAATATAAATAGTAGTTTACGCAACGATCGCGATTTGCGTACACTACTTGGACTACGAATTTGTTCAATTACCAACAATCACTACTTAACTTCTAAGAGTGGTTATGTTTTCGTTTATAACCACTCATTGCCACTGATAGTGATCATCGATCTCTATAGAGATCGATGATAGTGATGCAACAACTCATTGTGATTGTGTCAACTACTCATTGCACTGCTCATTTCAATTCTAACTGAATTGAAAGAGCTTGTTTAAAAAACGGTCGTAGGTAAACTATATTTTCATACTAAACTAATAATTTTTTCTTTGATATCTAAAACGAATGTTTTTTTCCAGACATTTCTAGTATGGGAGACAGTTGCAGAGGTAAGACGTTGTAACAGGAGAGGCTTATAATTTTCATTTTTTAGGATGTTTTGAATGGAGTGTTTGTTTCTTGACATATCAGATTTGAGGATGGTGTTTAGTACAATTTGTATTCAGCTCGGACATATTTCTGGCTCATATTTAACATCCTTGAGTAATTTTGCTTTTTGTGTTGGTTTACTAGTTTAAACATTGAGTTTTTATATTAATTACATTTGGAATTCTTTTCATGACGTTGAGTTCATCGTTATTGATATCCTGATTAGGTTATATCATAGTCAATAGTTATAGCATTGACTATTGTATACTGAAGTACCCATCCCATCTAACCACAAGCTGTCGATAAATTTTATTAAAACATAAAACAGTTGTGTTAGCCAGTCACAGAATGCGCCAGTGTCTAAACTTCTAATTCCTACCTTAATTTTTGTTGTTGACCAAATTCATGGGTCATAACAGTTGCTATAGCTCACAATAAGACATTCCATTAGTTTTATTCGGTAAAAAAGTTCGTCCATTCGTCAGAAATTAGTCATTTAAATCAACACAATCTGTTGGTGGCCCACATCAACTATAGATTTTTCTTAAAACTGGCAACAACTTTAACATGGGGATGGAATATCTAGTTGTATCTATACAGTAGTTGTAATAGTAAAAGTCTATAGGAATACTCATCTGAGAACAAATCTATTATATGCAACTAGTTTTTTATACTTTTTTTGATATTAGGATAAAAGAATATGAATAAATGGTTTGGCCCTTGTCTGGAAAATAAAGATTTTTATTTAAACAACTTGTATATAAACACTCTGACATATATAAACAAAAATTTTATGTATATATTTAAACACATAAGTGAGAAATGAGTAGTCTGACAATCGAAAGGCCTTTGACTAACTTCCATAAAGTTTGTAGATCATTTTTAATCATAGAGCCATGATGTTCTATGTTGGTATTCACACAATTGTTTGGACCCATTTACGATGTTATACTTTGTTTGGATATAAAAGTAAGAATTATCTTATGACAATTTGTTTTCTTAGTTGCAGGAGGTAACTGTTGACTTAATGGAAGGCATAGTAAGTAGTTAAAACCCAATTAATAATCACGTGTGATTAATTTATTTAATTAATTTTGACATGTTGCACTCTACATTGAAATTGTTTAAAGTAAGCTGAGCTTTACTGAACTTATCTGAGGGGATTTTATGCCACTAGCGGCAATTTTTTATTTTCCTGCGATGGATAATGTAGCTGCGGACAAATATACGAAGTAAAAAAGTGAAACCAAACCATAAAACTCGTTAAATCGTGTGTAAGGGGGTTCTTTTTTAAGTATACAACTTGAAAATTACATACAACATACAATTATGCTTATTACCATTGTAATGAATTTCATTGGTTTGGTACTCTAATGCTATTTAATGTTTGAATATAATTTTGGGCACATAAGTGGCCACTGTTGGTTCAACCAATCAATCAAGAAGTTTATTTACACAATAATTACCAATACATAGGTTACATAAGTGCAAAAACCACAAATGGTTTGCTTGCACTAAAAATAGCCAGTTTTGTAAGTTTTTTCGAATCAGTAGCATGCAAATTAATGAGTCCCTCACTGTCTCTTGAGCTAATTACAACAAATAAAAATACAACAATGACACAAATATCTGTAAAAATGCAATGGCAACAATAATAAATATACTATTTGAATAAATAACAATAATAAATTACTAACAGTGTAAACTAATTAAAAGTATATTATTATAATAAATTCAATTTGTAACTAACCATTCCAAACGAGTTATTTTAAATAACTTTCAAACATACTAACACTATTTACAAAAACAGTATGACAAGTCTTCGAAGCATTGCCCCATGCTCTCACACCATATCTCATTATGGGTTCACACCATAACTGGTAAATCACCAATAGCACATTAAAAGGCAGGCATTTAAAAAATCATCCTTTATCTATGCATGTGTATACTTTACGAACAAACAATTGATTTTACTTAAAGTCAAACAAAACCATGGCTTCAACTGAATTCATTGGTATGGAGCTGGCAAAACTGAATGAGGGGCGCCACTGTCTTGGCTAGGACACTACCCCCTTACAAACCACTTCATATAGTGCTATTAGTGATGATTAGTGCATATAGTGCTAAATTTAAATATATAAAATACCATCTAGGTGTTAAACATTTAAACATTTAGTAACTGAAATGAGTCTTAGGGGATTTCGGAATACATTTTATGTTATTTTACACCAATGTCAATAAATTATAATTCAATTAAAATATCCTATCATTACTTCAAGATATTAAAAAAATAATTACTTTGAATAAAATTTTTATAATGTTGGCTTGATATTATTTTTGTATACGAGTGGAAAAATTATAATATTACGTATAACAGAGGGCAATAAATTGTAAAAGTTGTAATATATTAAAAGGTTTTGTAACGCAAAAGTTAAAGTTTCTACTATATTAAGAAAACTGATTTAAGTAACAATTAATCAATTTTATATTTGAAGTTGCTCTATCATTGTTAGACATAATACAAACAAATTATAAATATGTTTGAACATACTTTTCAGGAACCATACAGAGAAGAGACGGTGAAGGTGAGTCTAATACTTACACCCTTTAGTCTTAACCTAAACACCTCTCTAAATACAGAGACTATTAAAAGATGAGTCTAATTCTTACACCCTTTAGTCTGCACACCTCTTCATACACATAGACTCTGTGAAGATGAGTCTAATTCTTTCATAATTTAGTCTACACACCTGTTCATACAGAAAGACTCTGTGAAGATGAGTCTAATTCTTTCATAATTTAGTCTACACACCTCTTCATACACATAGACTCTGTGAAGATGAGTCTAAGTCCTTACATCATTTAGTCTGCACACCTCTTCATACACAGAGATTCTGTGAAGATGAGTCTAAATCATTTAGTCTACACTTTTGTAATAAAGATGCAATGTGGAGGTGAGTTTAATCCTTACATCATTTAACAATATACACACTTCTGAATACGTTTTTAACTCGGCATATTTCTACTAGGCTTAATTTATACACTACGTTTCTTAACTACCTGTCAATAAAGTTATCTTAATGAAATATAAGATAAAGCTTGTATGCTACCCCAGTCAGTTTTTTTTTTTACCTAAATTAACTTAAATTTGTTTAGGTATATTTTTGTAAAATTAAATAGAATAAAATAACTTAAAAAAGAAAAATACACAATTTAATCTGTCTTACAGGTATAGATTTCCATTAATCTATTTATTCATAACACTTCCTTATATTGTAGGCCTACATACATTTGCGACATCTTCATGATTACATGACTGGTAAATAAAAGTATAAGTTAGACTCAGGAAATGTATCTAGTGAATGTTAGATTAAGCCTTCTTAAAAAAGCACAGTTTATTTAGTTAAATAAGTATAAATATTATAATTTGAGGTACTTTATTATGTCAACGTGTTTTTGTAAATATTTAATGACATATATAATTATGGAAACAACTTACTCCCCTATGTTAACCTTAAGGGGGGAAATCCAACTTTGAGGGAAGCTTCTGCATAAACTAATAAAAATTTCAAAAAAACGAAAACCACTTTACAAAACAACAGATCAGGGCAAATTTTGATTCACTTCAATCAATAAAATCAGTGTAAAAATGAGGGAGGAGATGTGTTTACAAAATATTGGCAAAGCGTATCAAATATAAAAATTATATTTCGAGTTACTTAATTACGATCAAAGTATTTTGTAAGTATTTTATTAAATTATAATCATGTAAATATCTTTTTTCAGAGGTATCTCAGAGGGAAAGAAACTTGGGCTGTGAGTCAAATAATTATATTCTGTAATATATTAATTCACCTATTCATTTTCATGCTTTATTCACTCGACATAATTTTCACTAGGGTTTATTTCTACACAACAATCACTTTAAAAAAAATCGGCATACAGAATATACGATAAAACCTTCATGCAATCCAAAAGTGCAATCCAAACCAAGAATTGCAATCCAAAATTCAAAATCTGAAATTATTTTGATGATCCAAACACACCTCATATGTTTTGGTTGAGTGTTATTTAAATGTTGATAAATTTTGGCAATTTATTCTATTGCATCCCATACTATTAACGTTTGGTAAAAACACTTTTTATCTTTCCCGTAGCAGCAAACCTAAACACTCGTTAAATCAACTGTTATTTAAATGGGGAATGTCTTGTTTGTGGAAATATATGAGTAGTATGGAAATCCAATCTGACATATTGAAATTCGCTTAGTCTGCAGGTTTGGTGGAGGTGTTGATTGCTGTAATCGATTTAAGTACAGTACCTGGGGACCGAGATTTGCTCGAGGAAAATCATTAGTTTACTCTGAAAGTCTTAGTATTGCAGATACATTAATCCATTCCCGAACTCCACACTGCTCACCTTTACTACTCCCTTCATCACTTCCTACGTTGCTGACCTGTTTAAACCTCCCTTCTTATAGCATCTTAGGATTGTAGATACCTTAATCCAATCGTCATAAACAGTTACCACTCTCCGGACTGCTCGCCTTTACTACTTCCTTCACCACTTCCTACGTTGCTGACCTGTTTCCCCTTTTTAGCATTTTTTTAGGATTGCAAATACCTTAATCTAATCGTCATAAACAGTTCTCACACTCCGGACTGCTCACCTTTACTACTTCCTTCATCACTTCCTACCTCACGGTCCTGTTTCCCTCCCTTCCCATAGCAATTTATGATTGCAAATATCATAATCTAATCGTCATAAACAAATCCCACACTCCGCACTGCTAGCCTTTACTACAATCATTGACTACTACAATGTATCGATTAATCGTGAGTATAATCTTTGTTTAATAGTAATTGGAGTTTTTCCTTTTGTACTGTATTTTGTAATATGCTTGTATACTGTGGTTAGATGGCTTATTACGAACACATGTTACAGCTTACAAGTCTTTTGTTTACTTTTTCCTTGTTATTTAATTCAACCAACATGGTTACTTAGCAACCCATAAGACTAATGTAAAAAAATTCGCCAGGGATAAATCCAAAATGCGCATATTAATATCTTCACAGTAGTGATAAAAGAGTAAACAAAAAATGATGATGTTTTAAATCAAGTAATACAATTTAGTAAAACCCTATTGCCAAAATCAGTTAATGATGGGGATCTAAAACATAATTTCAGGTTTACAGGTTTTCTTCTTGATCAAACCTTCATTCATCCTGTACAGTCTGTTAAATTTTTAGGCATCCACTTAGACGAATGTTTAAACTTCAAATCTCATGTTGATTACGTGATAAAACGTGTAAGTATAGGCATTTTTGTACTACGAACATTGGCCACAACAGTCTCGTCAGAAGTTCTTCTTTCTGTTTATTACGGCTTAATATTTCCATATCTAGTTTATGCTCTGCCTATTTGGGGATATGAAAATAATCATACCTCCTTTCTTTTTAAAATGCAAAAAAAGGCTATTCGTGTTATATTTTCTCTTTTCAGAAGACGATCTTGTAAGGAATCATTCAGGTCAGCTGCAATTTTGACTCTTCCCTCACTATACATCCTTGAAACCCTTTCATTTGTAAAAAAACATCAGTCATTATTTACCACCAACATTAGCTCCAGTACATATAACTTACGCACAACATACAACTTAAACATTCCCGTCCATTCAACTTCATTTTTCAAACATCATCTCCTTTACAATGGAATTAAACTTTTTAACCAACTTCCTCAACATCTAAAGCTGGAGACTGATTTGCTCAGGTTTAGGAGAAAACTTAAACAAATTTTGGTTGAAAATGCTTGCTACAGAGTCCGCGATTTTTCCACTGTCATGTAGTCAGTGATTTCTGTCTTGTTAGATTACTAGAAGGTCACATTGTTTTAGTTAGTAGAGTTTTTTTATATTTTATCTTTTGTACATTTCATTATAAACTTGACTATTCCAATGCAATGTAATTTTGTAATTCTGGAATAAAGAACTTATGACTTATGACTTATGACATAAAATTTGATTGTATCACTTTAAACTATCATAAAAATCACCCTGTGGGGCAGAGATCTCAATAAGTTTGTTAATATCAATAATTTTCGGAAAATCTACACACTTTGAGCTTAATTTTTATGTGCTATATACCTATATTTTTATTTGGTTAGTGGCCCTAACCATTTACATAAATATTGATTGTATCACTTTAATAATATAATAGAAATCTGCCTGTCGGCCAGAGCCCTAAAGGAATTCGTTAATACCTATAATCTTTGGCAAATCTACACACTCTGAGCTTTATTTTGATGTGCGCAGAATGTCTGAATTTTTATTTGGTTAATGTCCTTAACCATTTACATAAAGATGTGATTGCATAACTTAAATAATGAAATGAAATACGTTTATTTATCCCAATTTGATTACAGAAAGATAATAAAACAGAAAGCAATATTAACTAGTACAACTATTGTCAGATTAATAAGCCATACTTAAGGGATAGGCCTACATGGGCAGGTGCCTGTGCGTAGGCCTGGCTGTTATCAGTCTACGTAATTTTAAGGGCAAAAAACTGAATATGGGAAAATATGTTTACTTGAATATTAGGAAGAAAACTTAATGCGTTTGTGAGAATGTCATTAAGTTTTCTTTCTAATATAACGGAAATCAGCCCGGTGCCCCATGTCCTTAAGGAATTCGTTCATACTTTTCGGCAAACACACTTTGAGCTTTATTTGATGTGCCGTAACAAAAATCTGTCCTTCCTTTGCTGCCGTGCCTATATTTTTATTTGGTTAACGGCCTTAACCATTTACATAAACTTTGATTGTATTACTTTAATAATAAAACAGATAATAGTTCCTTTTAAATTTAAAAAACAATACAATTATTGAGTTATGAAAATAACATTAATAAAATAGTCATCATTTCAACCAATATAAGTTAATATACAAATAAACTAACAATTTTCAAGGATTTGAAAAAGAATGTGTGCAAATCGACATCAACTGTTCATATTGTATTACCACTTGTGGCGATGGACCTGATAAGTCCATAGATGTATTCTTTTGTTTCTTTATTTATTTTTTTTATTTTCAGATTGAAGTGGATGAAGTTAAAACGCAAGTGAGTATTAGATAACCATTAACTACTAGGTCCGCGGTCTCAGGTCCACCTATTGGACAGAGCGCTAAATACAATTTTTATTTGACAAAATAATAAATTAATTATACGATAACTTGATAAAACGGATTATGATTAATACAATACTTCATTATACGAGTATCTGGGGTCAATTTACTGTTCTTGTTTATGCCTGTAACTCTCCCTAATGCAAATGGCGTATTTATCAAATACACGATAGTCTCTCTCTCGACAACGCTCGCTAGATAAGGTAAGCCGTGGGCGAATTATGAGGTCCACCACAGTCTCATCTAAAGTGCATCCTTGGCTAAGATGTACCGGAATCGCATACGCAAGATTTAGTGCGAATCGCCTCGTGGACAGTTTACTCCATCCAATTTAAAGAAAACAGTTAGGCCTACTTATAAAAAAACAGATAACAGCCTGTTGATTATTATGGGCCCAATGCATTTTAAATTGCACTGAGATGCAAATCAGGATATCTTCAAGTAATTTTTACTGTAGGCAAATTCGCATATGGACACTGCTGCGGTATTTTAAACAAGGATATTCCTTCTGCCGGCAAATCACCCCTACCTGGCTTTGGCTTGGCGCAACTAAGCAACATTTTTTGGACCCTTTGAGGGCTTGGCGCAACTAACGCACGATCATGAGGATCAAGGTGATCTCAGATTATCATAAAAGGCAATGAACTAAATCATTTCTTCAGGTAAAGCTGTGAACAAACATTTAACATCACATATGTAGCCTACAACATCGAGTCAAACCTGACACGAGTAAAAATATCACCTAAAAAGCATTAGTTACGCGTAGTTGTATTGTTAGTAGAAATAGATGCTCACAAACACTAAATGGGCCCATAAATATTGCCTTCGGTAGAATAAGGTAAAACTAAACATAAGCAATGTAAGATCTTATAGCTCATTGTCTAGCTTTATGAAGATACATTGTTAGAGAATAACAGACGCTGAGATATACCTACTAAAGGGTTGTAGGCCTTTAATCCATGCTAATAAATTAACAAGGAATCAAAATGTTTTGTGAGATGATAGAACTGACAATCTATGATTGCTTCAGAGCTTAAATTGTAATAGAGAAATAATTTCACAATAATTGTGTTTCAGTCGGATTTTGAATCAAGGCATGAAAAATACAAGAACAAAGTACTTGCAATTTACGCTGGCAACCAATTTACAGATCAGGAAAATGTTGACTCACATTGTGTAAGTAAACAGCCTGTAATCTTACAAGTTTTGCAGAATATAACAAGTTTTTATTTATATTGAGTTTTTGATGTGCCTTCTACATACATTGCGTCTTGGAATATTTGTTTTAATCTTTCATCTGGGCAACTATTACGAGTTTATTTAAGTATAATTTTATATCAACAAACCGTAATTGTATAAAACAGCATTGCCACTTGTTACACATAATTTAACAAATAACGATTATGAACGATGAGTGACGTAAATCTTGGATAATATGGGGTGTTTTGTAGTTATATTTCGATGTCCTAAATTCGTGTGTGTCAATTCTTAAAAAGAATCTCACTATTGTATTTACCTCCAGACCTAATATCTTGTGCCAATGATTCACCACCTTTATTCGTTTCATTTAGCTGAACCCCCTGAGGCCCTTAAAGACTGTTATGATTTGTATTAGTCACGGTGGTTTCATAATAGCACTAATTGAGTGTTTCAATGTCGTTGACTTCAATGACGTCCAGAAAAATGCGTAGAAGTGTCGGTTCTAATGACATCCTTACATCCTTGGGTCGTGCTTCCTTCAATGTTTCAGTATGTAGCGAAAGTAACTCGGCCTTCTCTCGTTCTTATTTTATAAAAAAAATCATTGGGTTTCAGGTGATAGCTGCAAGGGAACTCGCAAGATATGATATTAAAAACGGTGTCTTCTTATATCTACCCTCAAAAGTAATATCTGCAGATTACGAACACAGAAATAAGATACATTCTAACTATCTTTGGTTTGAATTGAAAGATAAGGTAAGAATGAGTTCTGTTATATTGCAACTAGTATGTTTTTAATAAATGAATTTGAGTTATTAAAACTTTAAAATAAAGAATCGAGATGCATGAGATACGTATTAATTAAAACTCTCCAGCACATCAATCGCCCAAATTTTTACTTAGGCTAGATTAAAACCTTGAACTTTATGTTTTAAAGCTGCTTAAAATAAGCTCCTCCCTTGCCAATTACGGCAATTTATATTCAAGCAAAGTTTTTACTGACACGCATCTACCATTACTGAAGAACACGTGGCCTATGCAACCCAAAGTGTATGCTCAGGTATGAAGTTAGAAAGCCTTTGTTCGAAATACGCACAATATATTAGGTAGGCCTACGTTTCGGTTTCGTAGAAAATGTAAACAAAAATACTGGCTGCGTTCCAGTTCATAGTCAATTTAAAGGACTTTGCAGGCTTGTTGAGAACTTAAATGTTTGGTACTTCCCAGTCTCATAAATTCTAAATGTGTTCCAGTCTCGCATTCAATTGGTACAGTACCAATAATTTTAGGTAAGTCCCAACCTTGTCGACAGTTAAAACAAAACATTGGGGTCCGTGATACGTTTTGAAAGTATTTTAGTTATACCTATTGTTACAACTTCAGTATCCAAAAGACAATGGTTACACTAAATAATTTTTTTCTTTCTGATTCCTATTCTTACCTGAAAATCAGACAAACATTCGAGATCTGCATGCATGTATCTGTGTGTCATTTGGGAAGAACAGAAGTATTTTTTAAGGCTTCAGACTATGTCAGTGTGAATTAGGTTTGATTTTTTTCATAATATAATTAAATTTCTTAATCCGTTCGGAATGTCAATCATGTTAAACTTCTGATTAAAACAAATCTAGAGAAATATGCATTCAATATGGTTTCCAAAAACCAATTTATTTAACTCTACATTAGAAAATCCTTACAAACTTTGGAAAGGTGGTTGTTTCCGTAGTTTAAAATCCTCTTTTTTGAGTACCATAAACTACTAGTAGCGAAAATTGTTTAGTTTTTACACAGATTACTAAAAACATTCTGTATATATTGAATAACTTCTTGATAATCATCGTACGTGTTTACCTGAAAGAAACAAATAGTCAAATAACACTTATAATAATATATTTACACGTATACTGCTTACTCACAAGACGGTAAATACATATAAAAGATGGTAAGTGGTCATCGATTTCGATTGGACACTCCAATTATCATCAGACCCAAGGCGAATGAGGTCTCACAATGACACTGAGTTGAGTCTCTATACAGGGTGGCTGAAAAGTAACTTGCACCCACCTTAACTTTTCAACCATTTAAGATATTTGAAATCGGTTTGCGGCAACCTTCTTAGATATGAAAGGCTACAATAATTATGGTCAATTTTGAAAATTTTGCCCTTAGGGGTAGCGGGGGTAGGGGGTGGCTCAAAATTTTCAAATCACAAGTATAGTTGAGTTTGGTATCATTTTACAGGTCTTGACGAAACATAAAAATTGACATAAAGAAACCCAAAATCGGCTCACTAACAACAAAATGGCGCCGTAAAACGTTTCAAATCCAAATAACCATGAGGGTGACAAAAAAAAACTTGCACCCTCTTTAACTTTTTAACTATTTGAGATATTTGAAATCGGTTTGCGGCAACTTGTTTGGAAATAAATAGCTACAATAAAACATAACAAATAACATAAAGTAAATAGAAATCGGACCATTAACAACAAAATGGCAGCTAAAAATGATTGAGACAGTGGTTATTTAAAGTAATTTTGAACTGCCATTTTGTTATTAATGGTCCGATTTATATTTCCTTTATGTTAATTGTTATGTTTCATCAAGACCTACAAAATTATACCAAACTCGACTATACTTGCTATTTGAAAATTTTGAGCTACCCCCACCACCACTACCCCTAAGGGCAAAATTTTCAAATCTTACCATAATTATTGTAGACCTTCATATCCAAACAAGTTGCCGCAAACCGATTTCAAATATCTCAAATAGTTAAAAAGTTAAAGAGGGTGCAAGTTATTTTTTTTGCCACCCTCATGGTTATTTGGATTTGAAACGTTTTAGGGCGCCATTTTGTTATTAGAGAGCCGATTTTGGGTTTCTTTATGTCAATTTTTATGTTTCGTCAAGACCTGTAAAATGATACCAAACTCGACTATACTTGTCATTTGAAATTTTTGATCTACCCCCTACCCCCGCTACCCCTAAGGGCAAAATTTTCAAAATTGGCCATAATTATTGTAGCCCTTTATATTTAAGAAGGTTTCCGCAAACCGATTTCAAATATCTCAAATGGTTGAAAAGCTAAGGGGGGGTGCAAGTTACTTTTCAGCCACCCTGTATATAGTCGTGAGCTGAGTTTATCTAAGTAAACTCAACCACTCAATCAATCGATCAGCACTTACCATCTTTCAGGTCAGGTTAAGTAAAGGAAAGAGCCATGTGGCCCTAACTTTGCCTGAAAAATAAACGATTTTCATTTTTTCATTTTCATCTTTTATATGTATTTACAGTCTTGTGAGTAAACAGTATAAGTGTAAATTTATTATAAGTGTTATTTGGCGTATATTTTGTCCTTTCAGGAAGGCCTATATATTGAATAATCTAAATTACCTTAAAAACTACTACTGTGCATTAGAAACTATTGAAAACAACTGATTTTGTTTTAGTTTAGTACTAAGCTATCTGTTTAACGTACATTACTCTAATAATGATTGAACATTATTTTACAGTACCAAAAAGTCACCATTACTAAAAAAGTAAGTATCTAATGATTTCCTGAACTAGTAACTATGATAACGAAGCCAAGTGTTCTGCTTGACAATGGTTTAGAGTCTAGGCTGCAAGAGGGGAATGTTAAAAACGATTTTATCATATCCCTCACCAAAATCTTTTAAATTTTCTCCATACATATGCAATAGCAAACGCAAATGTTATAACAATCCTTTAAAACACATCATCTTCAGTCTAATAATTTTATAACCCTCTTCACTAGATATGATCCATCCACCAAAGCTAAAACCATAAAATTCAATCGCAAATACATGGTGGATCAGGAAGAGACAACAACGGTCTAGAGTAAAATGTATTAATAACTTAAATACATGTAAATAAGGATACATCTAATCCAAAGAATGTAGAGACAATAATATAACGTATAGTAAACTACATAAATATGGCACAATCAAACTGTTACTTACCTATTTTGGGATTCTAGGATGAATATGAAAAAATGATATCTGAAACCTATAAAGGCCCGACAGTTGTTTACACTTTTATCCATGACTTCGACCCGGACTGTTTGCAGAAAAACTCTAAAGGTGTCGATGAGAACTGTTTAGAAATGGAATCAAGAACGCAAATGGTAAGTTACAAATCATAAATACTAACTTTAAAAGGATACTGTGTGAATATTTTGGGTTCATACTTTGGAGCGTTCGGAGTTCGTAATTAGCTCACCCTGATAACAAACCCATTGATGTAATAACCTTGCTTACAACCACAACACTACATAATTGTAAATTTATTATACCTCCACCACAGCAAACTTGCAGACCAAGCCAATTTCCATTTACTTGGCTATACTTTAACGAAAGTTTTTCCTTGAACTTGTTATATCTATTTCCTATTTAGATTAAATTATTTTTAATAAGTATTTAATATCAGGTTAGCTGCTACAGGGAAAGTGTGGGTTTTGTATTAAAATGTTGATAGCTTAGTATGAAAAAAATACCAAATGTTATTAAAAGGTATATCCATAGGCAAGCAACAGTTTTTTTCATAATCTCCATGAAAATAACATGAGATTTTTAAAATTACACAATAACTTAGTACAGCTTTATTAAAGCTTTGTTAAAGATCTTTTGTAATTCGCATTGTTTGATGGACAATTTAAAAAAGGATCGGAAAAAATGTGCTTGGCATTTTTGTATAAGGTCAGCAAATTTTGTATTAAGGTAATAAAAACTAAAATGGCCACCATAATATTTTCCAAATATTATTCTTTCACTTATAGTTTACTGCCACACCAAATTTAGTGCCAAATTTAATATAATTCATAACACATAAAAACACAATGGTACTTTGGTAACGACAAATGGAACGAAAGTTTCTTAATCTTCGTGTTAGACCATTAAATATATCCTTGAACAGTTTATACTTACTCGTACTTAACCTCCACTCTGCGTACTTACATTATAAATCACTGTATGTTCAGGATAAAATATTTTGCTACAAATCTCCAGACCTAATATTATTTACTTTAGTGTTGATAATAGTTATTTATGTTTACCAGAATCGGTTGAAAATGAAATTTGATCCTAAATACACTTGGGTCGTCTTGCTCGTAGTTCACGTGGATATCCTTGGTGAGGAATATGCAAAAGAACTCTGTAGGGGGCGACGAGAGCCACATGCATATCCTATGGTGTACCGTCACAACGAATCTGGAAAGGTAAGTTTAAAAACTTCAATTTTTTACGTCGTTTTGATAGTTGTTTATTGAGCTGTCAATAAAATTTTTTCTTCTACTACAAACTAGAAATACTTTTATTCTATTTTTGTATATGAATTAAAGTAGAAACTGTCCAAAAACGTGTCTAAAAGAACCCTATGTGTTGATTCGTGTTCAGTCATGATTTTTCAATACAGATGATTTTTGTCAGAGGTATTTAGCTTTCTTTACTTGATTATGATGCCCATTATAAATTTAAATAAACGGTATCAGCAATATAAGCGGTAAGCGATGACAGTAACTAACTATGATATTTAAGAGGTAAAATCACATAAGTTGCATTAACTTTTGAACCGTAACTTTTACGGGAATGCACTATTTTCTTCAGAATTATAAGGGCCATCACGTACTAACTTCAATCAAACCTGGTATTTTAGCGAATTTCCCTATAGGGAATAAGCTATTACCGTAGGTCTCATGGTAAGACTTAGTCCCGGGACCGATTTACTTTTTCATTTTGATGTTCCTAGAAGCCAAAAACACCATCCGTTCAAATTCATATATATATATATATATGTCCGTCAGCACGATAACTCGAGCAAAAATGATCCGATTTCGATGAAATTTGGTACAAACGTTTATTCGAACGAGTTTGCGAGCCAGCATGATCGGACCATGGGAACGGGGTTTTATGGGGGGATTTATGGGGTAAAAATTGGTTTTTCTCATTTTTGACTCTCAAAACATAAAATTTCCCAAATTTCTTCTAGACCATTTTGAAGAGCTTAAAAAATAAATAATTCAGTATATTGAAGTGTTTTTGTATGGTTATTGGTTACGGAGAAAATTATAAGTTAAAAATTCCCATGTCATTCTTATGGAGAATAAGTAAACTTTTGTAGTTTGCTTGTTTATGCATATATTTGGATCAAACTTGGCCAATCGATTTATTTTATACTAAGCTGTTAATATTTTACTGAAAAACACACTTTATTACCCTGTAGGCAGCAAACCTAGGTACTCGTTAAACCTAATGTTATTTGAATAGATTTAATTGAAAATCAAATCAGGCAAATGGAAATTCGCTTAGTCTGCAGGTTTGCTGCGGCGGGGGTATTTTTTAATAAGATTTCTCTAATTTCATGGGGTTTTTGTGGGAAAATAACATAACTTACAAAACTTTTTAACCGTAATTTGTTTAGGAATGGGAGTTCCACAAGTTTGTTCGGAGTGTAAAGGGATAAACTAAATAAACTAAATTTTTATGAAAATCGATTGGGCAATTTTTTAGAAAAAACTATTTCATAACATCATAGGTTCTTTTTAACTTCAAATAGAAGATGAATGTAAGAACACTCCTTGTTTATTGTTCTAAATGAAGTAAAAACATGAAAATAGTGTGGACGTTCCCACAGTTAATGCAAGAGTTGGTCATGTCCCCACAGGTAATGCAAAAGCCAGTAAACGTGTCCACAGAGTTAATGCAAATGCTCACACGATCGAGTGTTTTTATTAAAACGTTTTTATTAGCTCGCTTTCTTGTCCGGTACAAATTTTGCAATCAATTTTATGCCAAGTTCCCGATGAGCTAGAGACTTGAATCTTGAAACATAGCTCACAAATGGATGACAACGCAATATTATATCATTTGATTTTCATATTTCCTTTGGGCTACGCCCCACGGGCTTGTTTTTATTAACTCGTTTTCTTGCAAATTGTGATACTTCCCGATGAGCTAGAGACTTGAAACTTGAAACATAGCTCACAAATTGATGACAATGCAATATTATATAATTTAATTTTCATATTTCCCTTGGGCTACGCCCCATGGACTTGTTTTTATTAGCTCGCTAGTCGCTTTCCTACAAATTTTGATATCAATATTAAACGAAGTTCCCGATTAGCTAGAGACTTGAAATTTGAAACATAGCTCACAAATGGATGACAATGCAATATTATATCACTTAATGCTCATATTTCCCTTGGGCTACGCCCCATGGACTTCCAAATTTTCCATGTTTACATTTTGAAAGAATATGAATATATCAATTAATTTAAGTCAGCTGTGAATACTTAAATTTGACAGTTAAAAGAGCAGAGGTTAAGAGGTAGAGGTTATGCTCCCAAGAGATCTTCATACAAACAAACATTTCAAAATAAAGATTTTTTATTTTATTTTGTTTTTTATTTGTTTACTTTACAATCTGTTCTATAATATATTGAACAATAAGTAAATGCTATGTAATGCAATACAAAAAATTGACTTTGGAACATTAAAAATAGCTGTTAAGCACTCTCAACAACAAATTTTTCAATAAAAACACTTTAAAAAAATCAGAAGGGCAGGTCCAGAATTGATGGCCTCTTAAGTCTGTAAATTGTATCCATGTTGTTTAATAAGTTAAGAGCTAAATGATTTTGATGAGATTCCAATTTCGTAATATATCGTTCACTTATGGTCATGATTTCGTCCTTAACTGTAGGCTTCTTAAGGTCTTGAAGTAGTGTTCTATTGCTGACATACCATGGTGCATTTGTTGTCTTCCTCAGCATTGTCGATTGGTATCTTTGGAGAATTTCTATATTAGAAGTACTCGCCGAGCCCCATAGTTGCACTCCATATGTCCTGATTGGTTTTAATATAGTTTTATATAGCAATAATTTATTTTCTAGACTAAGTTTTGATTTTCTTCCGATGAGCCAATTTAACTGATAAGATTTTAAATTTAGTTGTTGCCGTTTTCTCCAAATGTGTGTTTTCCATAAAAATAGTGTGAACACATAAAAAAAAGGTTATGCTCCCAAGAGATTCTTTATACAAACAAACATTTCAAAATAAAGATAAACAATCTGATTGCTGATATAACGGTGTTTGTTAATAATGTCATTTGTTATTTATTTAGTATTCTATAAAGTAAATAATAAATTAAATAGATTGATATATTTATAGTTAGTAGGTAGGTTATGCATTCAATCTAATACATAATTATATGAAAAGAAACTCAAGTAAACCTTAGATTTCCCACATGCCTCTGTCTTAACCTGATATAGATGCCTGAAATAGATTTCACATCCACACACATTAAAAACTAAAAAGTATAAAATCTATATCTATAAAATCCAATGTATGTTTGTATGTATGTTTGTTTGTATTTATGTATGTTTGTTTGTCCTTTATGGACTCCGAAACCGCCCGACAGATTGTAATGAAACTTTCAGGCATTATTAAGGATTATTCAAGGATGGTTTGTGTGCAGTTTGGTGAAGATCCGTCAAAAGGGCTCCGCCCCAGTGGCTCTGGAGTTTCCCATGTTAACCTTATGAGTACTCATATTTAAATGGAATTAAAGAATCTTAACAGCTGGTTCAACTAAGCAATTTGATTCTGTGATGTTCAATAGCATTAAAAAAATTAATAAGTTTACCAACAGGGTGCAGCACGATTTTTTTTATATTTATGACAACAGCTAATTTGCAACCAAAGAGTGAGCGTAGCGAACGAACTTCAACCTGGAGGCGAGTTAGCGTAGCGAACGAGCTAACCTGAATGCAAGTGAGCGCAGCGAACGAGCTCCAACCTAAAGGTGAGTGAGCGTAGCGAACGAACTTCAACAAGGATCTTGAAAATTAACAAGCATTTGACATAAAACCACTTTAGGACAAGACGACGTCTGTCGGGCCAGCTAGTAATTTATAAATAAAAAACTTTTTTTTTAAACAAAACGTTTTCAAACGCACTAAAAAGTAGAAAATAATTTATAAATATGTGGAGAATATAAATACTTGTACGATTTAAAACGAAAAACGTTGGGTGCATGAAATTGATAATAATACATTAGTTCAATAGATGAAGGTAATTGTAAATTGTCTATTGCATGCACCCAACGTTTTTAGTTTTAAATCCTACAAGTATTTATACTCTCCACATATTTATAAATTATTTTCTACTTTTTAAAGCGTTTAAAAACGTTTTGTTTTAAAAAAGTTTTTAATTTATAATTTTTTTTTAATTGAAGGTGCTAAGGTCCACACAGTTTGGAGATTTCACTTGTTGGATTTCGATAGTATATTAGTTAGGTTATGTCTCCTTTTTTGTTTGTAAATAAATCGTTATATATTTGTCAAATCTAAATTGCTATGCAGCATATTAAATGACACAAATTATGTATTAATTCATTGTAAAAATTATATTTACCGTATGAGTAGTATATAATAAAAAAAAAAATCTTCTACTAAGATAATAATATTGGCCCAAAACACCAATGACAAATATATAAACAAATGAATGAATGAACTATATCTTTATTCCAACAGAGTATTTACAGAAATTGAACACAAATATTTAAAGGAGACATAAGTGAATTCAAAAAAGAAATCAAATTAACCTTTGCATTACAACCGTGTTTTAAAAAGCGTACATATTTTTGGGGAATAGCATAACATTATTTGATCAAAAACAAAGAATAAATAAATAACAAAATAATATATGAGGTGAAAATATGATCTAAATGGAGTTAACAAATGGCGAGATAAATAACCATGTGAAAAAATATTAGAGGCATAATTAAGTTTAAATAAAAATAATAGAACTGTATTAGCGAAAGGAATTCTAAAGTCTTTGGGTAACACCTGCACTTCCCAAAACCAATTTTTAATATAAACTTTATGTTTAATGGCTCTAAAATACTTTTAGAACAACTAATTTTACGATTCCGAAGGATAAAAGTGATTGAACAAAAGCATAGTATATTCATTTCATTTCATTTTCATTTAGGGCGTAGTTATATATTCTAATTTTACTGTTTAAATATTGAATATGACTAGACCACTTAGGACGGTAATCAAAGACCACTCCTAAATATTTGAATGACTATATTTTTTCAATAGGTTCGCACGTACAATTGGTGTCGAGGTAATCACCACAGGTGTGAATGACGAGATTTTCTAGATTATAATCAGATTTTAAACTTAAAGAAATTGGCATAAACTTCGTTTTTGATGAATTTAAAGAGAGTATATTCTGGTTTAACCGTAACTTGTTTTCCATTAGGTCGTGCAAAGCTTTGTTGTGGGCCTCAAGCCAAGTTTTCCGCTGTTCAAAATTTAAGTGTCATCAGCAAATAATAGCAAATAGCTTACCAAAAATATTAAGTTTTGAAATATTATTTATATATATAAAAATAAGACAGGCCCAAGTGCACTCTCTTGAACCACGCCATAGTTAACATATTCAATATTTCTGTTGGTGTTAAGAACGGAGACCAGTTGAGATCTTTGAGACAGATAGCTTTTAAACCACTGAAGCGTTACCCCTCCGCCAACTGCTTCTAATTTGGAAAAAGCTTAGGTCGATCAACGGAATCAAATGCCTTTTTAAGATAAACAAATATTAATACTGGGTTTTCATTATTTGAAATTGCAAATTTAAGGTCTAATTAATGTCAAAAATTGCATCTAAAAAGGTTTTTTCACCACACTATGATGTTTTTGGCTGTATTACATACGTTAATTGGTGGCTGAAAGTTACTTTTTGCTGGCCATGCCAGCTGTCATCGTAATTTGGGGACCGAGCAGGTTTTTACAGCCCGGGGCCGCAAAATCAGCTGTCCGCTTACTTTCTTAAAACATGAATGCATTATAAATACACAATCAAAATCCATAGCAATGCAATAGAATTGTGTTATTGTCACCGTTGCCTAGCAACTATTTATTTTTATTTTTGCTGATTCCTCAAATTATTTTTTCACATAACCTGAAAGTTGTAGTTGTGTTGACAATCAGTGTGCATTATTATTGTGGTGAATAGTGGTAATAGGGTATATCACGATTACTAGAAAAATACAATTTTTTTTTGTATTCGTGGGGTATAGTGTGGTGAAAAATAGCGTTCGTACCACGGACCGAAATGGTTTTGCCGACTCGAGATAGTTTTTAAGTTCGAGACGAAGTCGAACTTAAAAACTATCTCGAGCCGGCAAAACCTCATTTTCGGCCCTAGGTACGAAATATACTATTGTCACAGCGAACCCCATACTGACAATCACTCAAAATTTTGTTTTCTTGCAGAAATGAAACTAATTGATCTTTTACTATTCTCTCAATTGACTTAGCAAATATACACAAAAGAGATATTGGTCTGTAATTATTCATATATTGACAAATTTATTGGATCTATAAAGAGAAAACAACTTTGGCAACCTTCAAACATTCATAAAATGTAGCGGATGAAATGCTCAACTTTATTATATGTAAGAGTGGTTTGTTAAACAAATCTGAGAGATAATCAGCGCTGCGGAGAGGTCGTTTATTACCTGACGCAGTTTTTGAAATATTACAGCTTTTCCGGTTGTACCTGTTTAGAATGAGCAAAGCCGTGTCACCTGATTGCACCTACTACTTTTATCTATGCTACTACTCAGGGACGTGGACCACTCTGTTTTCCGCTGTCCGCGTTGGGAATGGCATCACCTGGAGGCTGAACGTCGTATGCTGTCGGTGGACACAGCAGAGTAATAAATTGTTCCCGCATATACATAGACTTGCATATTTTATTTCTATTTTACTGAATCAAGAATTGCCAAGATTAAGTCTTTGAGGAAACAGCTAGACTTTAATCCTTTTTGAGCGGAATATAATTCAGTGCACATGAGTTTTAAAAGTGAATGTATAACAAGACACTTAACAAGGTATCTGTGGTTTTACAGTAAAAAACTTGTATGATACTTTTCAGGTGATAGAAGTTATTGGAGGATATGCGGATTGGAAAGATGGAGGAGCGTTCATATGGTCATGCAGCCAAATTAGTTCTGAAGAAGAAAGTAGCACAAACACTTAGCAAGAAAGCCCGCTGAAACATACAATCAATCAAGTACATAATTGCATTTCACTGTGCGTTGCCTTTTCTTGTCTACTATCCTAAAACATTTCCCAATTTTGAAATGAAGCGATTTGGGTTATAAAAACATGGTGTTTGTGGCCCAAATAATATTCCCCTTTAATTATACATAACACATTTTAATAACCCATATTAAACTTCTAATATTCCAACCCCAATACACATTTACATATACATTTAAACACACATTTGTACACAAACATTGAGGATGAAAGAGAAAATAATAAGTAATGTTTTCACCCTATAAGAAGAATTAGGCAATGCAAAATGAAGCAATGAAGTAAGACTAGTTTAGGTTTATTCTCAGTTCAAATCAAACTTTCGAACATTTACATACCTAGAAAAACTTGAATTATTGAAAGATATCAAAAACATGATAGTCTTTCAAGCCGAATTTACTGTCCTCAGCATTATGGAGTAAGTCAATTGTTATCAATTCCTTTTGCGGTTTTCCATCAAGAAATCAACAGATTCACATTGTAACTGTTTTCCCATTAAGGAATCAACAAGTCACATTATCAAAGCCTTACCGTTGGGATTTTTTAATTAATAAATTACCTGTATTTAAAATCGAATATTCATTCTTCGTTCCTCTATTTTTTGTTAGCTACCTACCCTTGTATGATTAGACGCAGACCTCATGTCTTTGTATTAGGTTTCCTATTTTGCCTTTAGACATTGGTCCCGTTGTTAGGCTAAAGCGCGAACCTAAATCGATCAAATCGAATCAAAAACTTTTATTTCATATAAAATAGACAATGTTTACAAAATATAATAATATGCAATAGAAGTAAGTTGTAAGCCAACTTTATAAACTAAATATCAACTAAATTAATTCCACATGAGAACCCGTGCGTGGGAAAAAGTCGTATTATATTGTAATAAGAAAGAATAAGAAATTTTTTAATAACGTAAAAATAAGGAACATCCTATTACTGGCAATACTCCACAGCACCATCGGAATAATGACAAATGGGATTAGGCTATGTAGATATCTATTATAATAATCTCCCCCTAACCACTAACGTGTTTATGTTTATTTTTAGAGAAATTAACGCATTTTTATATCAAGTTTTAGTTATGCCTTTTAATTGAGATTTGAAAAACGCCACTTTTATGTGTGTACATTCTGCTTGGTACTGTAAAAACATCGGCAATACCGTAGATCTGCTGTTTTAGGTCTTTGAAGGGTTAAGAGGACCACAATAAAACATCGTGGAAGGTTTTTATATTGCTTAAGCTACTTTCAAATACATAGGCTAATACTTCACGATAAAGTTGCAGGAAAACTGACTGTACTATTGGAAAGTTAGGTTAAAACCCAAGTGAAAAAAGATACAGTGGATATAGTATTCTGTTGAAAAACATGATGTAGGTAGTCTCAGAGTGAGTAGTCCGGAGCTCTTGGTGAAAAGACAGTTGATGTTAAAAATGAAGTGGTTCTTTCTTAGTTTAAATTTAGTAGTCACATAATTATGGCTAATAAAATTAGGATTATATATGAATGGATTCAATAGAAATACGTTTTATTTTCATACTAAATCTCCAATCGTAAAAATAAATATATCACAACACTTTTAACTTTTAAATTTTAATTTTCATGAGCAAAGCCATGACGGGTTGTGCTAGTGTTTTAAAAACGAACTAGTTGTTGTATCCGTGCTTCGCAACGGGAAAAATCTGTTTCATAATGATTGAAATAGATTTAGAATAAATAATCTATCATAAAGTTTAAGATTAAATAAACCTACCACATATTTGTGTAAAATATTATATTTTATTGTTTTGGATCAGCTGTCTGAAATTGTGTAGTAGGCATTTGACAGTTCTGGTTGTTTACATTTAAATGTCAAAGCAAAGGTAAACATTGTGAATTTTTTCATGCTTCCATGGAGACCAATTAGTAATATTTAATTTCTTACAACAGCTGGAGTTTCATAACAAAGTCTGTTTCCCATGTTAATCTTATGGAGAAATATGAAACTTTAAAGGGCCCCAGGGCTTCACTCTATAATTATTTTGATAAAAAGAAAGTTTCCTGCACAACTTCACGTTACGCTCTTTCCAATGACACCAAAAACATGTCAATCAGTTAAGTAGTTCTGGAGGAGTAATTGTCACAAAAAAACTTGCTTGCGTATTAAATAAGCATAGATTGTTTTATTTAAAAAAAATTGAAAGTATTAAATTGTAAACTAAGTGATGCCCTATGCTAGGGGAACTAACCTTTAAACTATCTGTATGCATAAGGAAATTAGACAAACTACAGAATAAAATAGTCTCAGAAACTTCAAGTCACAGCATTCGTGATTGGCGATGTTTGAACCAATGACTCGGAGACTGAAATACCACATTTTGACCACAATACAATACCTAGCCCATCTACTACTATTATAACTATTGTGCCTAAGTTCTACAGTTGAAATATGCGAAATTCAAAATTGAAGTTAATCTATAAACCTAGTTTACCATCAAGTATTACAGGTTACAAGTTCTTATCTTGTATGTAGTTGTATTGTAAGATATGTAACATTGTACTACATGTGTACATTTTTTCATGTGACATTCGCCTATTGGGTCTGATGAAGATTGGAGTGTCCAATCTAAATCGATCACCACTTACCATCTTTTTTGTATATTTACCGTCTTGTGAATAACAGTATAAGCGTAAATATATGTTTTAAGTGTTATAAGACGTTTCTTTTATTTACTTTCCGTAATACAGAATTCGATGTGAAAAGTCTAAGAGACCCAGTTTTTTCAAACTATGTCAGACAGAAAATGTTATTTTGCATGATCTTACTTAACAACATATGTTTAAACAAATGGCTCCCCATTGGTGCGATAACTTTTCGGCCGTTAAAAAAATATGGTCAAAAACTTTGGAATTTTCATTTTTCTATGGTGTAAAGATATTGTCTGTCCAATTTATACTTTTTTAGATAAAAAGTCATGAAGTTGGGACCGTTATTTTTTAATAGCTCTGTAGTCTATTAGCTGAGATGATATGGACACATATCTTAGAATTAATAATCATTTAGGACTGTAGCGGTAATATAAAATGAAATTGTTGAATACACGAATTGTAAACTACTCCTAAAACTGTTAAGTATTCCAGGACCTGCCGAGGAGGGTCGAGCAATTTTTCACCCAACTAGATGGCAAGGCAGCGTGAAATGTGATCTCGATTTGTAGACTAACAGACAAACGCCACCACTTCCAATCTCCCGTTGAGCATGTTTCTGATTTTTCTTGAAAATTTTCTTAACATTAAATTCAAATATTTTTATAATATAAATTAATCGATGTAAATAATTTCACATAATTACCGTACATTTATTTGAAACAAAACCATTCATCATGTTCCATACCATAGTTGGAATCATTATCATAATATGTTACCCATACATTTATTTGAAACAATATTTTTCCCACACGAGTACAAATTGTTTAGCGTACTATTTAACAAGGGATGCAAAAAATACTGAAGCTCAAATCTTTTTATTTGATGAATACTATGGAAATTATCATCCCTTGCAATATCTAATATACCGTTATAAATGCACGTGGGCCTAATAGGGGTGGTTTAGTTTTCACAATTATTGAAAAAATAAAACTATACCTAAAAACAACATTATATTTAGCTTTCATGTTTTTTGTAAATGCAAGTGGCAAGAAATTGTTGACAACGAATTGATATAGACTTAAGTAAATGTGTTGTTTAGTTACTAAAAATGGATAAGTGATACATTTGTTTCAGTTTCATTTACATAAATAACGCATGACTTGTACGTCAATTAGCAATAAGCAGTATAAACAAAACATAGCTTTTATCTTAGGAATCATTGGCATTTATTCGTTATTATTTAGAATATTCTTATAGAGACATAAGTTGAACTTGCATATATATATAAGTTTTAAACATTGTTATCATTTCGCAACCAAATCAGTACCAAACAATTGCGTGGAAAATCATATGAAGTTTGATGTAAAAATTAATGACATTGTATCTTGATCAACGTACCTGCCAAATATTTCAAATATCTGCCAAATATCAGATATAGACTACAAAATATTAAATGTGTCTGTTATTCAAATTAATATGCATGCTAGGTCCTTTAATTGATCGAAGTGAACTTTTATCCAAACATATCATGCCTAAGAACGCATTTTACACATCAATTATAGTTTTAAGCTAGTTTATGGGCTTATCAAACTATTTAAAGTAAAAATTATGAAAGATTCTTTAAAGCTTATTCTAATAAATTTTCCATACATAGTATTTGTCTACTTTTAACAATATTTTATTTGTGGACTCTAAGATATCAAATGTATTGTTAGAATACTGTATACCATACGTAAAAAAACACGACCCTAATGAAGCCGTTGAGGAATGAATGGATTGAAAATGCTGGAAGAGTAACACCATTTGCATGGATTAGTTTAGAGCCTAAACCAGAACTCGACTTGATGCAATTATTGGCAGAACTTCGATCCCATGTCAGAGGCCTTTACCACCTGCCAGTTGGCTTCAATTACACACATTCAATCCATTTCATTCAGTTAAGGTAATGTTTCCATGATCTGGCAAATATCTTAAAGTATGCTTTATCTCAACGGACGAAGACAATTAGCCGATACCCGATATATCTTAGCCAACGACAAGAGCTAAGTCCACAAAAGCACAAACTGTGTTTCTGCCAGTATATTTCAATGTATTTTTACAATATTCATTTTAATTCAGTTCTGAAGCTAAATTCTATCTTTTTAATCTCTACAATCTTATCTGTTATATACAAATCTAATGGTGTCTGTCTGTATGTGTATTACTAATAGGCGCAAAAACTACTGAAACGACTGGGCTTAAATTTTACAAAAATATAGATACCACAATAAGTATGGTAATAGGACTATTCACATTTCGATACTGCCCGCGGGCTTTCTCCCTTTGGCTTCAAAAGTTCTAAGGTGAGGATTTT